TAGATCATAGGATAAATATCTCACCGTCTCGATGCATAGATCATAGGATAAATATCTAGGATAAATAACCCAGTCTCGATGCATAGATCATGGGATTAATATCGCCCAGTCTCGATGCATAGATCATGGGACTAATGTCTCCCAGTCTCGATGCATAGATCATAGAATAAATATCTCACCGTCTCGATGCATAGATCATAGGATAAATATCTCACAGACTCGATGCATAGATCATGGGATTAATATCTCACAGTCTCGATGCATAGATCATGGGACTAACATGGAAATCTTGGCAATGAATTACGATATTTCCTCATATTTACCTGAAATAGATACTATTAAGCATATCTATTAGTTTTCGTCATTCTCTACTGGAATATTTGTGGGATAATGTTAGTGGAAAATCACCACGATTGGTGATAAATTTAGCCTCTGTAGAAAGAAACGGACAAATACGCCTTCAGATTGTACAGAATGTTAATACAAAACATTTCGCAAGGATATAACAATGTTTACACCCGGTTACCCAGTCATTCTGGGTCGATTCAACATCATCATGTTGCAACGTTTCGTGTTGGTACGTGAGTCAGTGTGTGTTGAAACCCCCGAGAGCGTCGCTAAGGCGGTGTCTTGTGCCCACGTACATACAGATAAGGCCACGCTATGAATACAGGTCTGGACACTATTTGCTAATCTCTCGGGTAGGATCTTATATCGGGACAATGTATGAAGTTGTATCTTCACGACTGGGATATTGAGGTATCGTACTGACAAAGACATAGTGACTGTGATTTGTGTCTGAGAGAGAGAGACACACACACAGAGAGAGACAGAGAGAGAGAGAGAGAGGGAGAGGGAGAGAGGAGAGAGAGAGAGAGAGAGAGAGAGAGAGAGAGAGAGAGAGAGAGAGAGAGAGAGAGACAGACAGAGATAGTGTGTGGCTGTGTGTGAGAGTGAGTGAGTGTGAGTGAGTGAGAGAGAGTGTGTGTGTGTCTGTAAGTGTCTGCTTGCGTACGTACGTGCGTGTGTGTGATTGTGTGTGTGTGTGTGTGAGAGAGAGAGAGTGTGTGTGTGTGAGAGAGTGTGTGTGTGTGTGTGTGTGTGTGTGTGCGTGTGTGTGTGTGGGGCTGTGATGCTGGGGCTGGGGCTGTGTGACTCTCCGTGTATAGATGGGGGAACGCGCTTCAATAATGTTTTAAGCACGGTACACGTGTGTTTCACCATTGGATAACTGGATCACCTCTTGCCTTCGTCACCCATTTCCAGCACCATACTCATGTGTTTTACCAACTGTCTGAGATTCGCAGACCTTTCTTCCCCTAACCTGACATGCGTAATACAACTTGAATACTGTTAAAATAGGCGTTAAGCCCATCTTATTCACTCTTTTCATCGCTATACTTGTTTCAATACTGAACATTGTGCTTTGGTATTCACTCTAACTACATACTCTATATATATTGGTCTTCAGTAACACGTGATTGTCGTAAGAGGCGACTAACGGGATCGGGTGGTCAGGCTCGCTGACTTGGTTGATGATTGTGTAGATCGATGCTCACGATGTTGATCTCTGGATTGTCTGGTCCAGACTCGATTATTTACAGACCGCCGCAACATAGATGGAATATTTACCAACAAACCAAGCTTCAGTGCTACATATCTAAACAGATCTATACAGTGTTTCGGAGTTCTTTGGAGAATTGGATTTAACAGTAATAATCACCAAATTATGACAACATAAATTTCAAGAAAGTCATGCATCATGTGTTCATTATATTGAAACTGTGAAACCCTGTTATTTTGGGTCCTTCAGATATTGCAACATCATTGCTTCAGACAACGGAGTTTTTGCGATATCATTTCAATAGTGTCTTTATCACAAACTGGACTCGTTATATTTCTGGAGTGAGCGAGTGAGTTGGGTTCAACCTTAACGGCGAGTCAGGTTACTGTGGGTGAGTTTAACGACGCTTTTAGCAATATTCCAGCAATACCACGGCGGGGAGCACCACGCATTGTATCCCTTTTGGGAATCGAACCCGGGTCTTTGGCATGACGAGCGAACGCTTCAATCACTGGGCTACCCCACCGCACCGGTTATTGTGGGAAGACAGCACGAATCGATGCAGGCCTTACATTTCTTGAACCTGGTCTTCAGCAACCCATGCTTGTCGCAAGAGGTGACCAACGGGATCGGGTGGTCAGGCTCGATGACTTGGTTGACACTTGTCATCGTATTCCAATTTCGTAGGTTGATGGTCATGAAGTTGATCACTGGATTGTGTGGTCCAGACTCGATGATATACAGACCTCCGCCATATAGCTGGAATATTGCTGAGTGCGGCGTTAAACAACAAACCAAACCAAACTAAAATGAAACCCATTTCACAACAAGACCAATGTGGCGATCGTACTTTGCAATTGATGAAATGTGCAAAAGGTGTTACTTCGGGTGTGAGCGCGGATTATATTTTGTACATTTATTCTTGTCTATAATTCCGTCAAAACCGTTCCCAGAATCATAAGAAATCTGACTAAGGATGTACCATTACGGTCCCAGGTGTATCAGGAGCATGTGTGTATGAATCACACTCAAATAATGATGACACCAGGTGTTCGGGAGAAGGTTAGCGTATCCTGCCCCACTGGTGGCATTGGTCACAAACACATGGAAGGGCATGTCAACTGTTCATCTGAAAAAAAAATCGAGAGAACTTATTTGAAATCAGGAAAAAATAATGAAATCATTTTAAACACAGATGCGTCAATATTGGGAATGTATGTCCTCCATATAGGTCCCTTAAAAACTGTATGAATGAGACCTTGAAAGTTATCAAAAATGAATGAATACAAAAACGTTGATGTAGAGTCATTTGACGCTTTTTGTAGAAAGTGCACTGTCGACTGTATTTCGAAATATTATGGCTAGTATTCCGTGAATATTGACATAAGGTGAAAGGACTACACCTTTTCATACCGACTAATGGATATTCTGAGCCTCCAAGAATATATGTAAATAGAGAGCGGGCGAGGCGGTTTCGCGGGTCTCTTCTGTTTCTAGTTCGGTTGGGTCAATCAGGGGAAAGAAAGTCTGTTGAACCATGCTTATTGTAGGACCCCCGATCATCGATAGACCTAAAACGTCAGTTAAAAACCTTCCGAAATAGTCATATTTTGAGGAGCAATGGGATAGCTTAATGGTTACAGCGTGCACTCGTCACGCCGAAGACCCGGGTTCGATTCCCCTCATGGGTACAATGTGTGTTGTCTATTTCTGGTGTCTCGCGTCGTGCTATTGCTGGAATATTGCTAATAGCGGCGTAAAACTAAACTCACTCACTCACTTACTCACTCTTGGCTCAGGCCCATATATGTTATCAATAGGAATTCCAACGTTTTTCATATTGTTTTTCAGTAAACTTGAGATGGCATTTGCTTTCCAATTCTGACAGCATGTCATGTACCTTTGAACATAGCGATGTAAATATATCTATGATTTCCACAATTAATGACAAATACCCCATAGATCAAGGATCAAGTTTTGCATAACTCTGTCATGTGGGATATTTGTGTTTAAAGTTGAAAATGTTGTGTCATGTTATATCATGATTGAGCTTGTTTCTTTTTTTAAATCGGATTCCTTTGAGGTTAGATAAACAAAAGCGCAATGTTGGAATGCAGTGAATTACATCGCTCTTATACACAGTCGGTAGCATACATGCCCGTGTTGTTAAAGCTACTCACAGTATACACTATAAAGGAAGACCAGACTCTGGTCATTTGACAGAACATTTAATCAAAGTCAATCAAAAACAAATATTATGTTGTATAATGACCCCTGTAGCAAAATGAATTGCGTTGATTACATGTGTCTCGGACACAAGCCTAGGTCGCTCATTACAGCGTCTATACCTATCCCGAAACTGGCCGTCAGACAGTGAAGGAACAGTCTCTGATTAACAATACAATTCTAACCTTAATTTGCTTGTGTATGTATCTTTTGTTTGTTTATTGTTCAACGCCACACTCAACAATATTCCAGCTATATGGCGGCGGTCTGTAAAAAAGGTCTGGACCAGATAATTCAGTGATCATGACTTTCTTTAAATTTATGTTGTCATAATTGGTGATTATTACTGTTACATCCAATTCTCCAAAGAACTCCGAAACACTGTATAGATCTGTTTAGATATGTAGAACTGAAGCTTGGTTTGTTGGTAAATATTCCATCTATGTTGCGGCTGTTTGTAAATAATCGAGTCTGGACCAGACAATCCAGAGATCAACATCGTGAGCATCGATCTACACAATCATCAACCAAGTCAGCGAGCCTGACCACCCGATCACGTTAGTCGCCTCTTACGACAAGCATGGGTTGCTGAAGACCAATTCTAACCTGGATCTTCACGGGTGGTATAAGTCTGTAAGGACAACAGAAATAAAACAAGGATAAAACTGTGCAATCCGGTTATGCACCGTGTCTATATTATGGTTTAATATTATCAGGCATGACAAACACTGAAAAACGTTTGCCCAGTTTTAGTACATGACTGACAAGGGATCGGTGTCTGACCTTCAGTGGGGTTGCCGCCAACACCATCGAGTACAGTCGGAGACTACTTTACAGTCGGAGACTACTTTAACGGCAGGGGAGCAGTTATTGTTCTCCTAAACGTGTCTGGATTCTATGTGTGTCAAACAGACTGTCAAGCATCCAGTTAGCCTCGTACACCCCTCCCCTTCCACCCCGCCTCAACACTTTGAATTCAACCCCTATTTCAATGGTGGTCAGTATATAGATCATGTTATGTTGCTAAGCTGCACCAACACAAACTAATGTCAACCGTGTCTTATCAAACACCAGGCCAGGGGGTCGTTCGTTTACCACTAGCAAGATTGAATATGTCAGGAAAAGATTACACCAGATCCAGGAACTCTGTGTTTGAGAGTCGTTGCCTAAAACAACCATGTCAACAGCGGGTAAACCAGTTTGTGAACTATTTTAACCAAGCTCGATCGTATTGATTTAATATAAGAGATTCAATACGTTATTCTTCATTTGGTTGCATGATAGCCTCCAAAGCAAACCTCGCGTCTAAGGCTCACTGTGGAGGAGATAAGTGAGTATGCCTTTGTATAAACAACCATGTAAACATCAGGTAAACCTGTTTTCTTGTGAAAAACTATTTTTGCAAATGTCGGTCCAGTGTTGAATTTTGATAAAAGATTCAATATGTTATTCTACAGTTGGTTTCATGATAACCTCTAAGGCAAAAATGTCGTCTGAGGGTATTTGTGGCCAAGAGAAGTGAGCATGCCATTATACAGCATTGAAACAACATTCCATAAATCTGTGTATGAAACTCACCAAAATGTCAGCCAGACCACAGGGCTGGTTAGATGTAAAACTTGCCAGCTCTGACCAAAACTTACCTGCCCAGAAAATATCGTCATATGCAATAATATGTCTAATTTTTAACCCGACCGTCGGGCAGGTGAATTTGAGAATCTGTCAGTCCGTGTTGAAAATAGCCCGTCCCGGGCGGTCGGGCAGGCAGGTATTTCGAACGTTGCATAAATGTACCGCGGGTGACACCAAGAACGCTCTTTACACATTGTTGTACGTGCGGAATCTAATCGTTTCAGCTACCCCACCAGCATTTTTAATATTTGGATCAAAAATAGGGTTACAACAAGTCAACTCAAGAGATTCATTATTTTCGAAATACCGAAGAAGGTTCTATTGGGCGTAAATTGCAAAATATCAAAAACATTGCATTGTTTCTATCACTGAGAAAAAGGGAAATGGGCTTCACACAGTTTACCCATGTGGCGAATCGAACCCGGGTCTTCAGCGTGACGAGCGAACGCTTTAACCACAAGGCCATCTCACCGCCCCTTTGAGACCTTATATATTAATAAATTTGAAATGTTTGGCCATTATAAATTTTAACAAGGATAGTGTTTCGCTATATTCAACTAATATGCAACCCAACAGGCAACAGAGTAAATGACGCCCTTGCTTCTTTCAGATTTGGCAGAGCTAATTTGTTTCAAGCGCCACGAATGTGGCCAATCAGCTGATGGCATACATTCAGAGTAGCACCCTGCCCGTGGTATGTATCCATGTAATGAGCCGAATGGTGAGATGGACTCCGCGGCAGGTGCTAGGGACGCTGGGGTTGACGCTGTTCATGACGTGGTTTCTACTGGCAATTACAGTGAAGAACACGACTCCAATCACAACGTTCCACCCAGAAACTCCCAGTAGAGACATCGTGGACTTTTTTCTCATAAGAAGAAACCAATACTTTAACCTTCATCAGTATTCCTTCTCGATAAACAGTCGTCAGTGCGAACGCGATGATCCTGAAGTTTTGATAATCGTCCATTCGAAGCCGGACTTCTTCGAGAAAAGGATGGTCATACGGGAAACGTTTGGGTCAGAGAATCGTGTGGATGGCACATCTATTTCTGTAGTGTTTTTGCTAGGAAGGGTAACTAACCACACCCTACAAGAGCAACTTGAACAGGAAGCCTTCAACTACGGGGACATGGTGCAGGGGAACTTCATCGACCACTACAAAAACATGACTCACAAACACGTGATGGCGATGCACTGGGTGGGAGGGCATTGCAACGACGTCAAAACCATCGTCAAGATAGACGATGACGTCATCGTGAATCCATTCAATCTCGTCTATTACATCAAGAGGACTACAAAACATCATAATACTATTCATGGCATTGTCTTAAACAGCGAACAACCTTTCAGAAACCCACAGGCAAAGTACTACATCCCCTATGCGCAGTACCCATTTGACACACTTCCGGAATACTGCCCAGGATTTGCATACATCACAACCCCGGATGTATACCGGAAGTTATACGAGGTATCACGTGACATTCGTTATCTCAATATGGACGACGTATATGTAACAGGTGTTCTAGCTCTGAAGGCAGGTGTGAACAAAGTTAACATAGATAAGGTGATATTTGATTGTGGGCGTTCGAAAAGGAAGTTGAATTCTCTGAGTTCATATATATTTGTGCTTAACGAAGACGGTGCGTGCAAGCTGGATCCTCACGTCCTGTGGAGTGACGTCAAGGAGAAGTGATTGCCACTCATGTTATCCGACAGCTTTCGATGTGTGTCACTGGACAGAGGTCATCAAGATGACTTAGTTTAAACTCGCGTCAAAGGGTTAAATGCAATCTCTTCGATGTTCATTCATCTTCATATATGTGTGTTCTATTTATCTTATCTTTTGTATAATTTATCACTGTTGTGTTTTCCTGTACTAAGTTCCTTTTCTGTGTGTGTTTTTTTTCTGTTTTGTGACAAAACAATTTAATTGTTTAATTTGTGACAAGGCAGTGAAAACTTTCCTTTGAAGAAGGACACAGTAGATCTCCGATACTACATTCATGAGGAAGACAAAATCTATCTATTGCCATGATGTTTCGAGGTACACATACATAGTTACAGTAATTATTGGTGATCTTTGAAAAAAAATAGTATTTAGCTCCTAAAAGCCTGTCTCAAATCCGAAACAAAATATTTGATCGCGTTTCCTTTCAACAGAAACAGCTTGGAAATATATATTCAAAACATCTGTTCCACCGGAAGATGTTATTTCAAAATTTGCAGGAAAAAATGTGTTCTTCTGTCGATTAAAGACCATCCACATCCACATCCACATCCACATCCACATCCATACTAACACCTACATCAACATCAACATCAAACACACACACACACACAACACACACACACACACACACACACACACACACACACACACACACACACACATCCAAAGAAAGAGAGTAGTTCACGGCCGTCTCATGTTTTTATCACCTAAAAAGTCCAAAGACAAAAATCCAAATCAGTTTTGGCCTTTGTTATGTTTTAAATATCGTTCATTTTCATTTTCTTATTCTATTTTTTATCTTTTTTTAGTATTGATGTGTTGATATGTTTTGATTCTTGTTCTGTATTTGTTTTTAGTAAGGAAAGATGTTTGTCGGTTTGAGGTGTATTTCCAACTCTCTTCAAAAAAACGTTTTATTAGATCATCTCGTGCTCGCCAAGTGCACAAACTTGCTATTGTGCTTTTTGAAACCCAACATTGCAGGGAAAATCTTGAGGGTGGTTTGATAACCTCCCTTTGATGGATTGACTCTCCAGCTGTGACGTCAGTAGCGTGACTGACCTGAAGTATTCAGGTTGGTCGATCCAGGGACGTTGACACATACAGATAAAATTTCATATCTCTTGTGATCTTTTAGAACTTCCTCGTGTAGTTACACTATGAGTAGGAGGGCATAACAAGTTAAGATTTGTTTTCAGGTATTCGATCACTGATTTCTATTGTATGTCTTCTTCTCTGATGGAAGGTGGGGTAGGCTAGGGTCACCTTTTGCGAACACCTGGTGTCAATACTAATTTGATAGTGATTCATGAACACATTTCCATGATATAGTCGACTTTGCAATTAGCACAGATTTGGTATGGATGTGGAAAGGGTTTTGTCGATTGTAATAATTTATAAATTCTGTTTAAACGCCATTCAACATGGTAGATTTTCAAACATGGTCTTAACACTTTCTTGTCCATTTTCAGAATATTTCATTTCAATAATGCCGCAAAACCACTCCCACATTCCAAATCTCTGCTAAAAATCAGACATAATGTTTTGCAATGTTAATACATCATCTCTTAAAGCAGATGTAATGCTTTTGTCAAATTAATACGTTATTTCAATACTGGTATTTATACCTAGTTCACAAAACGAAAGTTACAGATTTGTATATTTTTGTTTGCATGACCGAATTAAACCTCGCTAGGAATGCCAACTAAATCCAACTACCAAAGTTAAGCAGCCTGTCTTCGTCAGAACATTCGTTAGATCAACAGTCAATACATTAGTACTGCCCTGGTCTTAGTTGATAGATCCTCGTGTCAAGGATAAAATGATAAAGCAATCTGTAATATTTACCCCGTTATCAGTGTGCTATAGTCAAGTCATGGTGGCTGTGTCTGGTGCTTCAATAGTATCAGTCAGGGAGTGGAAAACTTGGGATTCCAGCGTTGTCAGTCTGATGATATACTCTGGGGCAAGTGATGAAGGTTCCCCAGGGAGTTGAGAATAAAACTGAAACGCATGATAATCCGCTGTCAAGGAAATTAGCAATGACGTGGGGATTGGACATAAGGCACAATAAGGCGAAATGGTGTTCTGCAGTGGAACGTACATACAGTGGAAGCCCTCTAAACCGGCAGCCCTCCAATCCGGCATGCTCTCAATATCGGCACTAGAATTTGGTCCCGACAGATGCTGTTTTATTTATTATCATTCTCTAAACCGGTACGCCCTCTATATCGGCATTTTTTGTCGGTCCCAACGAGTGCCGGTTTAGAGGGCTTCCATTGTACTTCAGTGTGAATTCATCTATTAAATAATGCGTGTGTGTGTTTCTCTGGGACTAATATAATTATAGATATGTACTTCTGGGTTAAGGATGTACTGGCAGTGATATAGTTCTTGTGATATATGTGTATGGAAGAATGGTTTACTTCTGTAATGGTGTTGATACCATGAAGGCTTCGAGAAGAACATACACGTTCGACTTTGACGAGCCTGACCTGTTTCCACTTTGTCGAAGTAACCGGTGATGTAGACAAGATATACAAGAAGTGTTCAGTTACACCTTTATCCGTAGTCCAATACATACACCTGAAGTTGATAGTTCAAACTGTTCATAAAAAAATAAATCTGAAAAAACCCACACTTGTTAGCGTTCCGTCTCCGTGCAATAGGTACGAGTCATTAACCGCCAGCCTTAATCAAATGTATCCGTTTTTATATAGCTATGCCATGTATGAAGTAGATTACTGGCTATATAACTGCCCAGCTGGCCTACTTGCTGATTATCGTTATGACATGCTGATAATTGTGTTATTGTCCATGTGGCCTATTTGTGACATGATATCCATACGGGTTGCAAGTCCTTCAATGTCTGTGTGCCCTACTGGTTATATGACTGTCCGGTGGCTTGCTGGTACTATAACTGTCCATGTGATCTACTGGTGATGTGGATTTCTTTGGGGCCTACTGGTGATATAATCGTGTGACCGACTCTCTGACTGATTGTATGATTGTGCGTGAGCCTTATTGGTGATGTGATTGGGTGACTGATTGTCTGACCTGACCAATTACATGACTGTCCACATGGCTCACTGGTGATGTGATAGTGTGACTGATTGTCTGACCTGACCAATTACATGACTCTCCACATGGCTCACTGGTGATGTGATTGTGTGACTGATTGTCTGACCTGACCAATTATATGACTGTCCACATGGCTCACTGGTGATGTGATTGTGTGACTGATTGTCTGACCTGACCAATTACATGACTGTCCACGTGGCTTACTGGTGATGTGATAGTGTGACTGATTGTCTGACCTGACCAATTACATGACTCTCCACGTGGCTTACTGGTGATGTGATAGTGTGACTGATTGTCTGACCTGACCAATTACATGACTGTCCACGTGGCTTACTGGTGTTGTGATTGTGTGACTGATTGTCTGACCTGACCAATTACATGACTGTCCACGTGGCTTACTGGTAATGTGATTGTGTGACTGATTGTCTGACCTGACCAATTACATGACTGTCCCGCGTGGCTTACTGGTAATGTGATTGTGTGACTGATTGTCTGACCTGACCAATTACATGACTCTCCACGTGGCTTACTGGTTATGTGATTGTGTGACTGATTGTCTGACCTGACCAATTACATGACTGTCCACGTGGCTTACTGGTAATGTGATTGTGTGACTGATTGTCTGACCTGACCAATTACATGACTGTCCACGTGGCTTACTGGTGATGTGATAGTGTGACTGATTGTCTGACCTGACCAATTACATGACTCTCCACGTGGCTTACTGGTAATGTGATTGTGTGACTGATTGTCTGACCTGACCAATTACATGACTGTCCACGTGGCTTACTGGTGATGTGATTGTGTGACTGATTGTCTGACCTGACCAATTACATGACTGTCCACATGGCTTACTGGTGATGTGATAGTGTGACTGATTGTCTGACCTGACCAATTACATGACTGTCCACATGGCTTACTGGTGATGTGATTGTGTGACTGATTGTCTGACCTGACCAATTACATGACTGTCCACATGGCTTACTGGTAATGTGATTGTGTGACTGATTGTCTGACCTGACCAATTACATGACTGTCCACATGGCTTACTAGTGATGTGATTGTGTGACTGATTGTCTGACCTGACCAATTACATGACTGTCCACATGGCTTACTGGTTATGTGATAGTGTGACTGATTGTCTGACCTGACCAATTACATGACTGTCCACATGGCTTACTGGTGATGTGATTGTGTGACTGATTGTCTGACCTGACCAATTACATGACTGTCCACGTGGCTTACTGGTAATGTGATTGTGTGACTGATTGTCTGACCTGACCAATTACATGACTGTCCACGTGGCTTACTGGTTATGTGATAGTGTGACTGATTGTCTGACCTGACCAATTACATGACTGTCCACATGGCTTACTGGTAATGTGATTGTGTGACTGATTGTCTGACCTGACCAATTACATGACTGTCCACGTGGCTTACTGGTGATGTGATTGTGTGACTGATTGTCTGACCTGACCAATTACATGACTGTCCACATGGCTTACTGGATGTGATAGTGTGACTGATTGTCTGACCTGACCAATTACATGACTGTCCACATGGCTTACTGGTGATGTGATTGTGTGACTGATTGTCTGACCTGACCAATTACATGACTGTCCACGTGGCTTACTGGTGATGTGATTGTGTGACTGATTGTCTGACCTGACCAATTACACGACTGTCCACATGGCTTACTAGTGATGTGATTGTGTGACTGATTGTCTAACTTGACCAATAACATGACTGTCCACATGGCTTACTAGTGATGTGATTGTGTGACTGATTGTCTGACCTGACCAATTACACGACTGTCCACATGGCTTACTAGTGATGTGATTGTGTGACTGGTAGTCTAACTTGACCAATAACATGACTGTCCACGTGGCTCACTAGTGATGTGACTGTCCATATGGGATACAACTGGCCGATTGTCTGACTACACTTGTCTGACTGTCCATGTGGCTTATCGGTTATGTTATAAACCATGTGGCCAACCGGTTATGTAATGATCTATCGATTATGTGTTTGTCTATCTGGCTTACTGAATGTATAACTATCCAAGGGATCTACTGGTTATAATTACAAAACTACCCGAGTGGCCCAACTTTAGTACCAATACTTTAGGCCGATATTTTAACCAGTAGGCACCATGCATAATTATGCTGATTGTCTGATTGTTCATGTAGCCTACTGGTTTTTAAACGGGACTACTGTTGTATCGGACTTGTGTCCTTGGTATGGTCACACAGATATTTATTGTACCTTACTGTTAGATAAGATAATGATAGGAACATTCCCAATTTGGTATGTGGAGATAAGCAGGAGATAGGTAAGGAGAGAGATTGGATTGGAAACATGTTTTGTTTGGTCATCCTTCAAAGGCATACAATGTCCTTTTAAGAGTAAGAAATAAATTTATGTGTTCATTCAAATTACACAGCCATCGTCATCTTTGTATCATTGTCTTACGATGTTTAATTTCATCCCTTTACCCAGTTACTCCAAGCGGATTATATTTTATAACGACTGGACAACCTTGGTCTAGATATACGAGCACATTGTATCAACTCATTTAATATGTGAATTTGTGACATATATTGTAAACCTGCGTTTGAAAACTGAGATTATATAGAGAAATAAAACTGATATCTTTGCAATTAAAACATTTATTATTTTTATATTATTATATGTAACGTCATGAATGGGAAGGACGTGTTTTGAACTTCTATGATTCTGTGAGGGTTGTAAATGTTAAAGTGTATTTGATTGACCATTGTCAACAGGAATATTCTACCTGTTGGCGTTATAACAACGGGCGGTGGGGTAGCCTAGTGGTTAAAGCGTTCGCTCGTCATGCCGAAGATCTGGGTTCGATTCCCCGCATGGGTACAATGTGTGAAGCCCATTGCTGGTGTCCCCCGTCGTGATATTGCGGGAATATTGCTAAAGGCGGCTTAAAACCATCCTCATTCACTCACTCGTTATACTTACTTTGGCTTTATAATGAGGTGAGTTGTAAATACTCGTCACTCGTTATATGAGTCAAATGAGAATCTTTCAATGTTAAATGATTAAACAGATGGGGAAATTTATGTTTTATGGCGAAAACATTTCAACTACATGTAACAAATAGGTTGAACACTGAACATATTGAATTTTAAAGGACCGTTAATAATTTATGGCCAGCGGGGGTGATGATGATTTTTATGGAGAAGCATGTACAATCCGAATGGTCCCCTCGTAAAATTTATGTACAAAGTAAGTGACCCCCCTGCATGCCATGTACAAAATCCATGACACCCCCCTTCCCCTTCCAATATTTTTTAGCATAATTTTTGTAATATTTTTATGTACAAAATTGCTGACCTCCCTAGAAACATGTGTACAAAATTGATGACCCCTACCTCCCCAGAACAAAATGGTGACCCCCCTAAAATCATCATTCTTCCCCTCCCCCTCCCTCCCCAAGCCATAAATTATAAACGGTCCCTAATGAACTCCGAGGGTGAGTGAGTATGGTTTTACGTCAAATGTTCCCGCATACTTGAAGGCGGGGGACACCAATAATGGGTTTCAAACAATGAACTCATACGAGGTCCTCATTGATAGTAATATTAATACGAAAGGCGGTGGGGTAGC